CCTTGCTGTGTCAGCCTTCGCCGCCGTCGAGGCAAGGGGTTCTCTTGTGCAGCTGCTTATCTTGAAGGAGCTTTTTCACTCTCGAGGGGTGTAGCCATATCTTGTTCCTCTTTTTTTTTATCATACTGTCAATAGAACACAGGGCTGTACAACTACGCTAAAGAAATTACTAGTTATATCCCAAAGCATGGGGTGCTCACGTCTAGAGGTCAAATTCATGTGCCTTGTGGAACTGTGGAGCTGGATGTGGACTCTGGGCAGCATTTTGGAGAACCATCCAAATACCCTGCTTGTGTGGCTCTAGGGTCACCACCATGTCAGAGAGCAACTGCTGAACCTCTGGGATCAGAGTCTTCCTTCTGGCTCTGGACAAAAATGACCCCACATCCCAAAAATGGGAAATACAGTTTCCTCTAGTCTGTAAATCTGAAGCCTTACGGAATTTATCGGCACTTGCAAGTACACCCAGACCCTGGCTGGAATAAGCATCAGTGAAGAGAATTGCCCTTGGTTGTATAATATGTGTTCATCACCAACCCAAATGCTAGCTGCTAGGAGGATTTTTGAAAGCCTACATATTTTTTTTTTTTAAATATTCATTGGCATAATGAAGCTGCTTCAGTACTGGGGTCTTCCAGAGCTGAGCTCTAGGAGTTGCAGCAATGGTCAGCTGTTATTCCCGTTCTCAGCCCTTGCTGTTTCGGATCCCGCATCCCAAATGAAGTAACGCTGAAGCAGGATGGGTGTAACAGACTGAGTCATTCCTGTGTGTGGCATCGCGGGGTAGGAGGTTGCAGTGGCTCAAGCTAGCACATGTGACAAACCAGTGAGCTGATTACTACAGCCCTGATGTAGTATCTCGCTGACTATTAATCCTTTTAGTCCTATAAAGGCTAAATATATCTCGAGTTTAAATCTAACCTTGAATCTCATGCTTAATCCTGCTGGCAGGCTCACGCTATAGCCTTTGGGGTGTAGCGGGGAGAGAACTCCACAAATAAATCAGATGAAGGATTGGAGTTCTGGCTTCACCTTGATGTGCAACAGGCACAACGCCGAACAAGCCTTTTATTCCCATGCCTAACTTTGTGACTGGCATACTTAGGTGCTGCTGAAAGGATGGCCCCCTGCTTTGATGCATTCAGCCCTAGGTTTTGGTAGGTATAATAAAGGAACTGAGGTGTAGGCAAGAGTATGCTTCTATTAAGGTCTTCAGTGAGAGATATTCCTGAGCTGGGATGTGACTTTGATCAGCTTCATTAAATCGGTATCGTTCTCAAGGGCCACTCTTCTAGTGAAAAAAACGAAAGCAATGGCAGGACAGGCCAGAAGATTTAATAAAGAGTTTTTTAAAAATCATAACATAAATGAGCTGGAATAGATACTGGAGGTAAGTGAGAGGTTGCATGCCTTTACCCTGGAAGGGACCATGAGCCACTGATTGCATTAGCAGCACCAAATCCCTCTGGATGCTCCAGACTTTCCTAGTAAATAGGAATTAAACTGTTAACAACCATCTAGCATATCCAGGAGAGTTAAATGCAGTGCTGCTTTTTTAGGGCTTTGAAATTACACGTTCCCCTTCTTCCCTCTCCCACCTCAGTCTCATTAGCTTTGAGGCTTGCTATTTTAACTATGGCACGACAAGACAGAATAACTCTTCATCTGCAATAATGCCTGTAATCCCTATGGAAAGGGCTCGTACAGTTTATTGGAGGCTATCTGGTCCCTTATTTGGGATGTGGCTGTGGCTGTTGGGCCGGTTACCCGTGGTGGTGATGTCCAGCCCATGGTGGAAGCTGGCCACATTAACTGTGAAGTTGGCTAGCAGCTCTAGCCAGATGATTTAGTTT